ACGTGTTTTTTTTTTTTTTTTTTTTTTTTTTTTTTTTTTTTTTTGGATAAAAACAAAGCATATATAGTTACTATAAATTAGCTGATCTTTTATGCCATGTTTGGTGCGAGTGAATGGAATCAAATGAAGTGGGAATGAAATGCTTTTGTTTCCATTATTTAGTTTTGTAACTAATTTTAAAGTTGGAATGATGATTCCTGCCCATTCTTCGAGAATGGTGATTCCCACTAATTCATTCCACGTTCCAACTAAAGGAATGACCATTCCATTCCTGCTTAAAAAAATAAAAAAATGAATAAAAAAAGCATTTGATGAAACGTAGCCTATATATAAATATATATATATATGTTTTACAAAACTAGGATGTTTGGAGAGAAAAAAAAAAAAAAAAAAAAAAACGAAAGGTTTTTCTGTGCAACCAAACATGAGAATGAGAATGGTCATTTTATTCCCATTCCGTTCCCTAATTCATTCCATTCCCACTTTATTTCATTCAACCGCACCAAACTAACCCTTAGTTAATTTGTGAATGGGCTGGACAATAGAAGATTGGGAATCAAGTAAACGTTTATGGTTCATACATTAAGGAAGTGGGCTTTGGCAGTATAGGTTTGGATCAGGTTCTATTGTTGGAGAAACTTTTAGATGGCCCCGTACAACATGTTCATTACTTATAAATACAAGAATTGGGGCTTCATCATAGTTGTTAAAGGCTCAAGGCGCACAAAAGCGCAAATGCCTCCTAGAGCCTGAGGCACAAGGCGCAAGGTGAGACGCGCGCCCGACTGAAGCAAGGCGCACGTTGGAAAAAAAAAAAAAAAAAAAACACAAAACCCACCCAATAAAGTATTAAAGATGCAATAGTATATATAAAGATGTAGTGAATAATCAAACATATTAACATAAAGAGCAAAATTTACATGTTTCCATTTTCACCGAGCTTAAGTATAATTTAGTGAAGAGCAAAAGAATTTGGAGAAAAAGCAGTCCGTGACACATGTTTACTGGCATCACCAAAAATATTAGTTACTTTCTATTACCTTAGGAAAGTGGTATATATGCAAAGCACTTTTTTTATCTTCTTTGTACCTAATGGTCCTTAATACTCGAGAATATTAATTATCACAAAAGTTGAAGCTGCCAAAAATTTCGATCCAACAATGTATACCAAGATTTTACAAAATTAGAGTACACTTAACTAATTATTTCATTTTAACAAAATTATATAAAAATGCATTTCCTCAAACCAACATGTTAGAATGGAACAAATACAACTGTTCACACAAATAAATCAGGTAAATATAAAGTACCTCACACAAAGAAAAAAAAAAAACTAGAGAAAGAAAAAATAAATAAATAAAATAAAAAGAAGAAAAGAGAGAGAGCCGAGACTCAAGAGAAAAAAAAAATAATAAATAAATAAATAAATAAAGAAGAAAAAAAAAAAAACAAATCTGCCAGGAGAGAGCCGAGACTTGAGAGAAGAAGAAGAAAAGAAGAAAAAAAGAAAAAGAAGAATAAAACTGGAGGAAAAAAAATAAATTAAAAAAAATAAAAAAATAAAAAGAAGAAGAAAAATATAAATAAATGACATATATATCTGGCAAGAAAGAGCCGAAAGGCCCCAGACTCGAGAGAAGAAAAGAAGAAAAGAAGAAAAAAAAAAAAAAAAAAAAATTTGACCGAATCACCAATCCGGCAGATCCGAGAAGAGAAGGAGGAGAGAAGAAGAAGATAAGGAGAGAAGAAGAAGAACTAACCTATCAGGAGAGAGCCGACGCAGATCTGAGAGTCCTGAGTGAGTACTTCGCTGCCTGTATCAGTCTGTCTTTTTCTTTCCTTTGCTTCTCTTTTTTTTTTTTTTCGTTTTTTATGTTGCAAACTTGCAATAGGCTTTGGCTTTAAGCTTTCTACTAATTAAGTAATAAAATAATACAATACAAATAATATAACAATACAGAGTCACAAACAAAACAAAAAAAATAACGAAAAGAAGTTAAAAACAACAGTTTCATGCGGGCGCGCCTTTCTAGCGCCTGTAGCCTGGCGCCTTGCTCCTAAAGGCGCACGCCTTATATAAACCAACCGCATACTCAAGGCGCTAACCCGGTGCCTGGAGGCGCCTTGCACCTTAGGCGCGCGCCTCTGACGCCTTTGACAACTATGGGCTTCATATAAACCCCGTACAAACGGCATCAACACCAATTACATTTACCAATCTCCTTATCATTTTAATGTCAATTACCTTTCGAGTGTGTTCCGCTGCATGAAATTAGAGTCTTGAAATTATAACGGGTGAAATTTGAGAAAAACAACTAAAAAAATTGAATCAAATTTTTTTCAATCTCCACTAATTCCAATTCTAAGACTCAAATTCTATATAACCGAATACACAATTCTAGTTATTTTAATTTCACACATCGCTTAATTCATAAGAATCCATCGTTAGGTTTTTGTTGAATTTCACATCCACTACTTTGCCAGAAAATGAATGTATTCACATTCACTGACCACCAAATTCATAAAAAGGGAACACTGAAATCTGAGTCTCTATCTACATGTGTGTAGGGCTATAAACAAATGGAGTAGTTCACTCAGTATACCAAAAACTCGATTAAACTGAACTTGAATAAAATTTAAAAAGTCAATTAATAAACAAGTCAATCTCAAACACAACCCAACTTAGCTCGTTAGTACCTGAACATACTTTTAAATCCAAAATAAACACTACTCCTATTTATTTTCATTTCAGTATCTAAACTACCGACATCCCAGTCCAGTCTAGCCCAACCCAACCCAACCCAACTATGTTTATGAATGTAATTCCTTTAAAATAAAGCAGCCCAAGCCATCTTAAGCAGGCCCATAACATGTAATTCCCGTGACACATGCAGTACGTTAATTTCTTAGTAGTTAAGTTACACGTTTTGATAAAATCAATATTTTCATTTTCTTGGGAAACAAACATTATGCAGTCTTAGTCGTTGATGCAATGATGCCTATTGAAGAAGAATGCGTACAGCTCAAACATCACTTGATTTCCAAGAATCCATTGTTATGCTGTGTCTAATTTCACATCCACTAGTTCCCCAGAAAAAGAACATTTTATATTCGCATCCACTTATTAACAAATTAATAAAGTAGTTAAACTTTTAGCTCTGTATTATTGTTGTCCTCTCTCTATATCTATATCTATATCTGCACAAACTCTTTCTATAAATGGCAACACCAATAGTCTGATTCTCTTATATATTATAATATATAGTACTATATATAACTATAGGAGGCAACACCAAATTCATATAAACATATGTAGGTGTTCGAAAGAGTTGATGAGATAGGGGTGCACAAAATAACCGAAATCGTGGAATCGGAACCTGAAATGTAAGGATTCTCACGGTTCCGGCTCCGGTTCAAGTCTCGAATTTAGGAACCGTTGACATACGGTTCCGGTTCAGGTTTCGGCAAATGGGAACGATGAAAAACGGAACCGTATATATATATATATATATATATATATGTATTATATATTTAATTTTATAATAAGAAAAAGTAAAGATAAGTCGCTGGAGGGACCTTAGACAGTAGACACGTGAAAAAAAAGTAAAAAACCTATTAGTTTGTTGCCCTAAATCTCTCACGCTCATCGCTCCCAGCCTCTCAGTCCTCGCCTCCTCTCAATCTCTCATCTTAGGGTTTGACGAAGTGACAAACCCTAAGCTAACCCTCGTCGGCTTGCCTCCTCTGAAGTCTGACCTCTCATCGCCCTTGCCTGAGTCGCCTCTTCTAAAGTCTGATCTGAAGCTTCCTCGTCGTTTCAGTCCTCATTGCTATCGCCATCTCAGATTTCATCATTAATCGTCTCCGAACTCAGATTACTCGGTAAGTCCTTATAATAGTAATTCTGGTGTAATCTACTTTATATAATTAGACAGAAGGTTCGGCTAGCCCTTCAAAATTTTATTAATTCTGGTGTAATCTACTTTATATATATATATATATATATATATATATATATTCCTTCATAATCAGATTGCTTTTTCCAACTTTCGTGGAGCACACACTACAGTGATTATTAAAAAACAAAAAATTCTTGTACTAACAGAGTGTCTGTGGAAATTAGTTGTCACATTAATGCAGTCAATAATAAGGTCAGGCGTAAGTACCGGCATAATTTGCGTAAAGCAGTCAATTATGGTTGATCCTACAAGAAATGGAGAACTGGACTGGTAAACAACTTGTCCTTCAGATTGGAATTTGGGATGATAAGAGAAGGGGTCCAGACTCCCTTTATCAAAAATCTAAATTAAGACCTTTGGAAAAAAAATAATAATAAATAAATAAATAAAGTACGGAATTTTAATTATGATAATTTATGGTTTGGACCACCGTGATGTATTGAATCATTAGGTCTTTTAGGCCCCAATTTGCTCAAATTGCAGCCATGCAGGGTCATTTGATTCATTTCTCGTTTCAGTCCACACTCCTTTGCCATTATCCATATATGAAATTGCAAGGTCGGGGCTGATAGGACCACTCTGTCTACTCAATCCATGCCATTGCCCACCCCCAGCGTGCGTGTGTGTTTATATATATATATCTTGTGCAAGCAACAAAATTCACACTACAAGTCTAGCTTCCCCCAAACAGTCGTAAAAGATGAAGAATGAACACAATCATTAAATCGAGGAGGAGGAGGATGAAGAGGTGGTGGTGGTGGTGGTGGTGGTTGTTGTTGTTGTTGTAAATAAAAAACGTAAGTTTAATATGAGGTCACACTTAAGGGAGAGCGGAGCTTTATTATATTATAAGTCTTTATATTGATATGATACGATATATATATATATATATATATATAAAAGAACGTATTTTGAACTATAAATGAAGGGTTTAGCATATTAAAAATATAAACATATTAATACATACTATCACGTGCATTGATTAAAAAATAAATAATCTAGATAATTTTTTTTTATAAATTATTTAAACTTGATACAATTATAGATATGAATTTATTTTGGAATCAATGAAGGCAAAAATTTGGTCTCATATAAAAAAATTTGTAAAATTGTGCAGTTAGGAAATACATAGACACTTGCGTTTTATAAAATTAATTACGTGGAAACTGGAAAGGGGTTTGTTTGCAGGAGATTTGTAACTTAAGAACTAAGAAATTTTCACTTTTCCATTTCCCTCTTGATTTCGATACGGAGGAAAGGGGTTTGTTTGCAGGAGATTTGGGGGAAGCTGTAATCAGATGGATTCGGGTGCAGGAGAGGGATCGGAGATGGACGATTACGAGTCGTTGATTGCGACGACCGATGCGGAGCGACTGAAGCAGGCATGGCGGAACGAGAAGGCTGCTCCTGAGATTCTTCAGTTCGAGACCTCTCTGATTCAAAGATCCAGAGAACAGATCCAATTGATGGTATCGCCCATTCACAAACCCTAATTCTCTCTCTAGGTTTCTCTCTCTAGGTTTATCAGAGCTCGATTCCTAATTCATCCCTATTTTTATTGTTGATTTTGTATGTATGTATGTGTTCAATTGTTCATATACACAATTATATGTTGATTGATGGACTGCTTTGAATTAACTAGGATATATACCCATTGCTGTAGAAACACTGGTTTTTATTTTTTATTTTTTATTATATATATATATATATATATATATATTTATATATATATATTAATTTTTTAGACATTTTTTTTTTTTTATGTATTATCGATGCATTTAGTCTTGGAAAACTTTAATTTGGATGGAATTATGATTTATGCCCCTTGTTTTTGTTAGAAATTGTATGTTGGAGCAACTGCTTGAATGTGAATTTAAATTTTCATAACTAAGAGTCTAAGATTATTGACCCTAATAGAGAAAAATACAAAATATTTCAATTTGAAGAGGGAGATTGTATTATTTTGATGAATATGGAAATATATGAGGCTCAAGAGATCAATAATCTGTTTATTTGGCTTTTGAAGGGTCAGTGAGGATTTTTGAGTCCTGTACTGACTAGGGACAACAATAACTTCAGTTATTCTTATCAATATTGTGGTTGCAAGTGTGCCTATTCAACTAATATATTGCAAAGTAACAATCTCAGTTTTGAGGTTGATATTTCGAACTAGAATGGTTATGCTCTTCCATGGTACAGTTTTTTTTTCCCCAGTGATTTTACAGTGGCTAATTTGAACTGCAGCTCTTATAGTTATTATATGTGCAATCAGAGAGGATTAAGTGGCATGGTAATGTGTGAAGTATGGAACAAAGGAGGCAGCAGGTAAATTTGAAGTCAGTGATGTTGGTAGTTGATTGTGACAGGGGGGACAATGAGTTAGTTGTGATTGTGTTCAGAGGTGGTGATAGTGAATATGACACTAATGGCATTGTAGTAGTGGCTAAGAGGTGTGATGGTGGTCGTGTTAGTGTCTCAGTGGCATTATTTGTTTGCTCGATTGTGAGGTGGTAGTAGGTAGTAGCTGTGGTGGTATAATGACTGTACTGATTGTTGATGGCTTGCTTGACTATATGATGGCTCAATTCAAAGGGATTGCGATTTAATACTGCATTGAATGTTTGTTCTATTTAATTAGGACTGGACATGTTTGTTCTAACTTGGGCATGTAATTGGATTTATTGTTTATTCAGATTTGAATACTCAACTAATATATAATCATATATTGATTTTGTGAAGCCTATTGTAAAGTTGCCATGATGCAAAATAAGGTTGACATATATGACACAAGTACGCAATCCTGCTTTTTTTTTCTTCCCTAATTTACGCAATCTTGCTTTTATTAATCCAAAACGCATCTTAAATGAACAAGGTAGTTTTAAACTAACCAGTCGCCTGTCCTAATTGTGATACAATACCAATTCAATGTTAAACTTGTATTTTCTACTTTTCATAAATCTGTAGGCTCCGACAAAATTACCCAGCTGCAGTATATTACATAATTCCTAATTTCACAACTCTGAGTAGGTGGTATGTTGGAAGCATATTCTTTTCCCTGCTTAGTAATTCATGTAGAGTTTTTCCATTAGGCTCATGAGAAGTAGCTATCGCAATGGTGAAGATAAACATATAAAGATTTCTATCACTACTTTAAAACTTTTTGGCTTGCTAATGTAACTTCTTATTTTATCTAATAGAAGAAGTAACAGACATTGTTATTGGTACTTCAATTTTCTTAGTTACCCAAAATATTACCAAATTATAGCATTGATGTTTTGCCTTATTGGCCATTTAGATCCTTGCATGTCTATATGGATGATATGTGATCATGGTGCTACTTTTTTCATTAATGTTCAGGAAGAAACTGTGGAAGAATATGCTAAAAATGGCATCGATCCACTCACTGTATCACTTTACCAGATGGACTTGGATAGGACTCTGTTTTTATTGAGATCGTATCTTCGGGTTCGTCTCCAAAAGGTTAGAATGAATCTAACTCATTCTTGTGTGCGTTTAGTGCGTGCCTGGACGAGGGCATTTCATGGAATTGGATTAGTTCATTTTGCTTATGATAGTTTTTCATCATCCTCTGCAATGGAGCCATTACATAAAATGGATTCCTTATCAAAATATAGTAAGAAGCTGGACTGAAAGTCACTTGGATGAACCCTAAAATGCTCCTAACTGAGATCTTAAGCAGAACAAATAGAATCATGCAGAAGTTATCCAGAACATGATAGAATCTTCAGCCATTATCATGCCACAAGACGTCCAGATTCCCTATTAGGTTATCATGTTCACTTATCTGTTAGGTAATGAACTTTCAAATGCAGATTGAGAAGTACATGTTCCACATCCAAAAAACCACTGAGCTCTGGAACCGGCTGTCTAACGAAGAGCAAAAGTTTGCAAAAAGGTGACAGCTGTTAGTGATTTATTTTTCTCCTCTTTGTTTTAAAAGTGAAGTGGAGTTGAAGATTTAGCTTTTAGTAATTTTTGTAGTTGACTTTTTGGTTACAGATGTACTGAGGATGCAGAGCAGCACTTTGAACAATCTGTTCTGTCGAAATTTCCTGATCGTTACAAATCCCACTTGAAGCAATCTGTAATAAGTGAAGAGGATGATATGGGTAGTCTTATTATACTTATCACTGATCTGTTTCATTCAATCTCTCTCCTTGTGTTTGACTGAATTTCCTGTGTTCTAGGGTTTTGAATTTGGAGTACCTACTTAGATAGACTAGTTTTAAGGTCAAATATGTTATGCCTATGGTATCAAATTTCAATGTGGGTTTTTCCTGAGTTATTGTCTAAGAGGCTTAAAACATAATTAATTTAAAGTGCATGCACAGAAAGTTCAGAACACATTTAAGTGTTGCATAGAAGTAAATGCCACGTCTCAAACTTTCAAACATCACATACAAATGCTGGTTTGCCTTTGTTTAGATAATATACATAGAATACATGTGTGAGTGTGTGTGTGTGTTTAGGAAGAACTGATGTCATGACAGAGAATCAAATTTTGAGGGTATACTGGATTTTTGAGTAGTTTTGTTCCCTAACTTTTGAATGTTCTTTAATTCATCAGTTAGCAGTATGTGACCATTAATGAACATAATGTAAGAAAAGTAATTGAGAAGGGTATCAGCTACAAAGATATTACTTATTTAGTTTGCATTTTTGGTCAAATTGATTCTCCATGATTGGACTCAATCGACCAGAAAATTTGGCTTCCTCAGTTCACATGAGAGTATGTCTCAATGAGATTTGAGGTTCTCCTTTCCTGTACTCAGAGCGTGCCTTGCAGTTATGCTATTGGTTTGTTTCATGTTTACTGAATTAGTGTTAGTCAGCATGTCACGTGGTTACTTTTCTTTTATCTTTTTTTTTTTTTTTTTAATCTTTTTTTTTTTTTGATATATTTTTTTCCTCCTTTTGATTGGTTCGCTTAGCATGTGCACTTTCAACACTAATTTATTGGTCTCTTGTTTTGTATGACTTTCAGTCCCAGAACCGCAGCTTGATACGTTTGTTATCTGCCGAAGCAAGAGTTTTTTAGGAGCTTTCCAGCTTGATGACAGGCAATTTGTAGTTCTTGAATGTTAATTTTACTTCCTGGTATGGATGCTAATATTGCATCTGCTTTGCTAACCTATCTGAATCTCCCCCTGGCAGTGGAGAAGAGAAGCCCGTGGACCTTGAAGCTGATGATCTATATGCTTTACGTTACAAGTCAATAAAGCCACTGCTACAATCTGGGCAAATTGACCTCGTCTGAGTATTTAGCAGCATATGGCACTGTATGAGAGAAACTTGTTTTGACACCGGCTCATGTGCCCGGAGTTGTAATATCTATTCCTTTGTGCTTGTATGAGCAACATCAGATAGTTTCCTAATATCTGCTATGGCAATAGCCAACATGGTGCTTTAGACCTAACAGTCTTTTAACAGTTTGAAACCTAATTCAATTTATTTGGGCTCGGCTATGTAAATTATGTTTTGTCATCCATTCTTAATCTATATTAGTTTTGGTTTTTCTATTCTCTTTTACTCTAGCATTACCCTCAACCTTAATGTGGATCCTATTTGTATCTCAACCTAAATACAGCGTGTGGACTATGCTGTTGCACTTGGTTCTGTTTTGAAGTCCTTCGACAAAGTTTTATGCAACCAACCATCAAAATAGAACAATCGAGGTCTAGATTTTGGAATATGAAATGATACATAGTCTGACACCTACAGCCGAATAATGCTCCGAAACCAACGTGGCTATGCCAACAGACGTGGGAGTTGAAACCTTTTCGATTACAGGTACGATTTCCCCTCACTCTTCCTCTTAGTCTCTCTCTCTAACAAACAATGCAATGTCATTATGAAGAGTGACTAGAAATTGTAGTGCAGAGTACTGCAGAGAAGTTTTGATTTCAGATTCATGTTCTGGTAAAGTGACTCGAGACAATAAAAATTACTCCAGTTTACAATAGAAAAGTACCTTTTCTTGGCCTTCATGTGTAATTAGATACTGTCCCTTTGCTTTTCTTTGAGGCATTGTTCTGGTGAGAAGCCTTTATGGATACAATATAACTGATCTTCTACCTAAGTTAACCGTAAAGCTTTAGATAGCTGGAAAGTAAGTGGTTTTCTTTCTTTACTCATCAACTGTATTCTTCATCTAATAGTTTCTCTTTTAGTCAATGTGTACGATTTGAATCCAAACTCATCTCTCAATTTCTTCACCTCTGTGCTGGGACAGCCTTTAACCACTACACATTTTTGCTATTTTAGTAGATATGGTAAGTACAATATGGATTAATAAAAATTGGAGCCTGTGTATTGTTGTAAATTTAATAGTAATCTCAAAACTACATTCAAACTTGGACCGACTCTTGGTCCAAATATCACTGTCATTCCACCTGTTTCCATTAGTTACCTTGTGCTCTTCAAAAAATTTCAGGTCAGGCAAGTTGCCGATGAAGTTCACCTTCAAAAATATGTTTTGCTAGAGTGCTCCAGACTGTTACTCAAGAAATGTTACATAAGATGGCTCACCAAGTTGAAGAAACAGGTTGCCAAGGTTTCTTTGACGGAGGTATTTTACTCCTACCTTTCCTTCCTTGATTGGTTGGCGTCTTGTTTTGGAATGTAACTTGATTTGTAGAAGTAGCATTAGTGATTTCTCTTGCTCTTAGATATATATCTTTTGTCAATATCGGATGGTAATTTTGATCAGTGACTTCTTCTTACCTGTTTTAAGAGCATCTTGCTGTTTACTGTTTGCTTGATAATACCTACAATGAAATACTACATTGTAGGTATTATCTTGCAATTGCAAACGAGTTTGTAAAGTTTTTTTTTTTTTTTTTTTTTTTTTTTAAATTAAAAAAACGCTATTTTAAAGTTTTTCAAATGCTCTACTTGGGGTAGTGAATTGGTAAAATCCTCTTTACCTGATTGATGGGCAATGTTTATGACCTTTTTTTTAAGAGTAATGACAGGGGAATCGAAAATGAATTCTTGAATTAATACCGAATTTGACGTGGTTGACTGTACTTATAACGTGTTAAACAATTATTTTTTGAAAACTATTAAGTAGATGAGGTAGACAAAAACACGTCAGATTCGGGACTTATTCAGGAAAATCATTCGGTGACCCTATCTTTTTTAAATGATTCTTGTTAGTTCAGGAACTTATGCGCAATCATGTACTCACTTGTTTTTATGCTTTGCTGATGATAATGTTTTCGGAGCCCGAGCAACTAGATCTGGGGAATGCATAAATGAGTGCATGTAATTGAAAGACCTTAGTCTTAGGTTAGTACACGAGGGAACTGAACCCAAGGACATTAGGGATGAGGCTCATGCAATGAGATTAAAAGAATATAAATGAAAATAATTCCACTTGTTCCTCAGTGTGCTAATATTTATTCCGATGTGTTTGCTTGTATGACCAACGTCAGATAGTTTCCTAATATAATGGCAGTAGCCATTATAGTGCCAAGTCCCAATAGTTTCCAGCAGGTCCAGACATATTTCCATTTGTTTAGTTTTTTCTTAATCTATATCAGTTTTGGGTTTTTTTCTGCTTATTCTGTTACTCTAGCATTACCCTCAATCTTAATGTGGATCCTGTCTGTATCTCATTCTAAATTCAGCGTGTGTACTTGGCTGTTGGACTTGTTCTGTTTTGAAGTCGGTGGACAAAGTTGTATGTAATCAACCATCAAAATAACAATCAAGTTCTTGATTTTGGATTCTCATTAGCCAAGAACAACATAACGGACTGATTACCCAAAGAAAATAAACAATTTAAATTATACTCCCTTTAACTAAACATATCATATAGATGTGACGTGTTTGTGTTAAAAATGATCCATTTAACTAAATATGTCATATTCGCATAAAAAATGATTTAAACATATCTTATTGTGTAGTTTCGTATCGTGTCAACTTTTGACCCACTTATTAAATGGGTTACACGTGTAATGTCGTGTTACCCGTGTGTATAATCGTGTTATGTTTGAGATTTCTTAACACGAATAATAATAGTGTCGTGTTTGTGTCCATGGACAAAGTTGTATGTAATCAACCATCAAAATAAAACAATCAAGCTCTTGATCTTGGATTCTCTATCATCTAGCCAAGAACAACATAATGGACTGATTACCCAAAAGAAAATAAACAATTTAAAAATGATTTATTTAATTAAATGTGTTGTGTTCGTATAAAAAATAACTTAAGCGTATCTTATCGTGTGATTTTGTATCGTGTCAAGTCTTAACCCATTTATTAAATGGGTTACACGTGTCGTGTCGTGTTAGTCGTGTGTATCATTGTGTTATGTTCGTGTCGAGGTTTCTTTACACGAATAATAATAGTGTCGTAATAATCGTGTCGTGATCGTGTCGACTTGTTATCTATCTAACAAGATACTCATGCCTTGACACCATGAATTGCTACCCCTTAGACAATCACCCAAGTTTGAAACATTGTCGAATTCACCATTTTTCCAAACCTTTTTGCATCAGACATATGGTTAAGAGTTTCCTGTTAATTGGAACAATCTCAAGCTAACACCCAAATTATATGAATAGCACACAACAAACAAAGATCCATGTTTTATTTATTATGAATACGCGAACCATTTATGAAACCTTTCTTCCTTCTCTCCTTGTCCTCAATAGCTATGAGTGACAATATTTAACACGTCACGGCATTATAACATGACTGGAATATGATATAAAATAAAATGTGTCGTGTTCGTATTTGATCACGATCTTACTAACCCGTTTATAATCCGTTTAATTAAACGTATCAGATAGACGTGTCGTGTTTGTGCTAAAAATGACACATTTAACTAAATGTGTCGTGTTCGTATAAAAAAATGACTTAAACATATCTTATCGTGTGGTTTCGTATCGTTTCAACTTTTGACCTACTTATTAAATAGGTTACACGTGTCGTGTCGTGTTACCCGTGTGTATAATCGTGTTATGTTCATGTCGAGGTTTCTTTAACACGAATAATAATAGTGTTGTGTTCGTGTCGAACTGTTACCTATCTAAACAGGATACTCATGCCTTGACACCACGAATCGCCATCCCTAAACAATCACCAAAGTTTGAAACATTGTGGAATTCACTTTTTTTCCCAAACCTTTTTGCATCAGACATATGGTTGAGAGTTTCCTGTTAATTGGAACAATCTCAAGCTAACACCCAAATTATATGAATAGCACACAACAAACAAAGATCCATATTTTATTTATTACAAAAACAAATTAGTAATACAAAAGGCAAGATTAAAGTGGATGATAATAAGAGAGCATGAAATAGATAGTTTGTAAGAGAGTGAGTACTAGAAGAATAAAAGCAGCAACGAAGGATATGATTCTCCGTGGATTCGAGAAATAATTGTTTCTTAATGCAGCCTTATGTCTGCTCCACAGGGCAAGCAAAGACGTTTTAAGCTTCTGTCTGTGCCACTCTGTGGAGTCCCAGTAGGCATTCAACGTTGGAGTTATGTTTCAAATTTATTATTTATTAAATTACTAAAACTCCAACTGAATTCTTAATGAAGTTTTAATGTAGAATTAATAAAGTTTTCTATAACTTATACTCCTATATTAATTTACGTTAACTTATGTGTTATTTAAGTGAAAAGTTAAGTATAACTTCATTAATACTAATTTATTATATCCTTACTTATACTAGTTAAGTAGAAGAGCTTACTAAAGACACACCCCCAATACAAGTAAGATAGAAAAAAGATATTTGAAAAAGTGCTTTCAAACTATTGAGTTTGAGTGTAGAGTTTCATACTTTCAGTTGATTGGACGGAGATAAATATACAGGTTCATGAAGAAGAAGAAGTGCAACATTCATGAACGCACAGATTTGACATCTGGACTTAATTGAATCCCAGAGATAGTGCTGCCATTTGTCTTCCGTTGCACGTGGGAGAGGTTTCAATTATCTTCAAGAAGCAATTACGCGCCTTTGAGCCACGATATTCACCATTTTAATATATTGATTCCAACGTTCACTTGGTGGCACAGTGGAGCGTAACAGAAGTCACTCAGAACAATTTTCCTACAGACAATGTCGAAGAAATCTGTAACATCATTATGATTATGCGAAGCAATTATGATTCCTTTTTGACATAGTAAATCAATGTCTTTTGAGAAGCGGATGAGACTGTTCATGAGCGTGGCGTACGATGAAAATTGCTGCCCATGCCGCATTGTTCGAAAGCAATCAAGTTCAAGAAGACTGATACCATTGTTTCATCACAAATTCGAAATGCTGGGAATTTAATCATTCCTTCACTGAATAGTGAATGTTATGTCCATAAAACCGATTCTCATGTCCTTTTCAATCTCAATTCCAGCCTCTACAAGCTCTGTTGCACAACGTTTGAATCCAAAAGAATCGCCTGCTACGTACACTTCTGGGAAAGACATGGACAGATTATAATTGTAGAAGTTTTTGAGTTATTTGCGAGGAAATTCCACTGGTGGTTTGGTTTTTTGTGCAAACCTAGA